TTGCTCAGTTCTGATGGCCCCATTCAGGGCAGGAGAAATATCAGAGCTGGAACAAATACTGAGATCGTTTACAACTCAACATCGAGCCAGTAAAACACCTAAACTACTGGGAACGCTTGCAAGTCTTGAACATGTACTCATTGGAGCGGAGGAGAGAGAGGTACATAATATATACTTGGAAGGTACTCGAGGGCTTGGTCTCAAATCTGCACACTGCCATAACAACATACTGGAGTGAGAGATATGGGAGGAAGTGTAAAATAAACACAGTGAGGAGCAGGGGTGCGGTGGGGACAATAAGGAACACTGTATCAACATCCGGGGTCCCAGACTTTTCAACATCTTACCAGAAGATATCAGAAACACTGCTAGGACAAGTGTAGAAGCCTTCAAGAGGAAACTGGACAAGTATCTTCACCAGGTGCCACATCAACCAGGCTATGATGGATATGTGGGGCAGCAGGGCTCCAGCAGCAACAGCCTGGTTGACCAGGCAAGCACCAGACGAGCCTGGCCCATGGCCGGGCTCAGAGAGTAGATTAACTCTCAAAACTCTTCAAAGGAATATCTGAATTGACCCTAAAAGAGTTCTGGAAGAATCACTTCAATATCTTCCACTGCATAGGCCTTATAGATAAGGCTTGGCAGGGAGTGACTTCCAGGACGATGAACTCTGCTTGGAGAAAATTGTGGCCAGATCGTGTCCAAAAGAAGAAGTTGCCTTCAAAGATTAAGGAGATTTGTGCAGTGTGGACTGAAATGCATTCATTTGTGGAGCAACATCACCCTGAGAAAGCTGTTGCAATTCGTGCTGGTGACTTTTACAATAACAATGCCATGTCTCATCTTAGGCAATTTTTAGTGACGCCAGAAACAGGCCTATCTAGACAGATATTTTGTGCGACAGGGGTCCAGTGACTCAAGCTGGTCTTAGTGACAGTAAAAAACAAAGGAGGGAAGTGACCCCAGATAAGGACATGGTACCTGGAGTCCTTATGGAGGGGGATTCCCCTTCTAAGCAATAACCTATCTTCCCTCTCCCTTCCTCCCTGCCTTCCTTCCAGCAACAACAGCCTTCAAAAAAGTAAGCGTCATGTTAATGTTCATTCTTTTGTGCATGTAAATGTATATTTAAGGTAAAAAAATTGTTTTTTTGATACTTCTGGGTGTCTGGAATGGATTAATTCCATTTACATTATTTCTTATGGGGAAAATGGTTTTGGTTTTGGCCGATTTTGGTTTTGGTCGATGGCTCTGGAACAGATTAAACATGAAAACCAAGGGTCCACTGTATATTATTTAGGTATGCATACTGGTCATAGAGCCCATTGTAAGTTTGAGTCATCAGTAAACGAGTACGTCGCTAAATGAGGAGAGGCTGTACTTGTTTTACATGATGATAGGATTGCTGGTGCCTTTTTCTGTCTCATAAACATTTAAGATTTCAGGTATGTCTTGCTACTTCCATTTACCTTTAGGTTACACTACACCTGCATGTACAAGCATATACAGTAGAACCTCTACTTGTGAGTTTAATCCATTCTGTGACCTTGCTCACAACTGGATTTGCTCTTTTGCAGGATCAATTTTCCTCATTTAAATTAATTGAAATGCAATTAATCCATTCTAGTGGAATTCTGTACTTCAGTAATTTCCCTAATATCAAACTCTACGGCTTATTTATCTATCACAATTCATCTAGTATGACATAATAAACAATATAAATAACGTAGAAACCTGATATATACTCTAGAATGAATAAAATAGTATATCATTAATGTAGTGGTATGGGCGGTGTCAGCGGTGGACGAGAGTTTGTCTGGAGACCGGACAAAATACTTCTTGAATAATTTCGCTAATATCATCTATATGGCTTATTTTTCTATCACAGTTCATCTAATATGACATAATAAACAATATAAATAACATAGAAACCTGATATATACTCTAGAATGAATAAAATGTGTCATTATGTAACAGATGGAGGCGGCCACAACCGCTCCCTCTTTGTTGTGGTAAACACTGCCATCTAGTGACAGCCTTTTGAAGCTGTCTATTATTATAATTATTAATATGTATATTATTATTATATATGTTTTTTTTTTTCAACAAGTTGGCCGTCTCCCACCGAGGCAGGGTGACCCAAAAAGAAAATACTTTCGTCGTCGTTCAACACTTTCACCTCACTCACACATGATCACTGTTTTTGCAGAGGTGCTCAGAATACAACAGTTTAGAAGCATATATGTATAAAGATACACAACATATCCCTCCACTCTGCCAAATATCCCAAACCCCTCCTTTAAAGTACAGGCATTGTAATTCCCATTTCCAGTACTCAAGTCTGGCAATATAAAAATAACCAGTTTCCCTGAATCCCTTCACTAAATACTACCCTGCTCACATTCCAGCAGCTTGTCAGGTCCCAAAAACAGTAAGTTGAATAGGGGCAACAGGTGTAAATAGGTTTGTCCATACGCATTGCACCACCAAGGAATTGAACCCCGGGTCCTTTCGGTTGAGAGCTGAGTTAAGGTCTCACTGCTGCAGGTTGCCATTATTATTATTAAAAGCATTTTGGCAGAGGTGTTTTTTGTAAATGTTTTGGTACAGGTGTTCTTGTTCAGGTTTTTGTACAGGTATTGTCTTACAGGTGTTTGGATACAGTTGAATAGGTTTATTAGCAGTTTTCTACTAGGTTCAGCTCCATTATATGGTAAAAAATTATTTTGTTGATGGGTTCGTCTAAGGAGGTAACTCTTCCTACACTCTGTGCAGTGTTAAGCCCACCATAGTGAAACTTTATACAGTGGACCCCCGGTTAACAATATTTTTTCACTCCAGAAATATGTTCAGGTGCCAGTACTGACCGAATTTGTTCCCATAAGGAATATTGTGAAGTAGATTAGTCCATTTCTGACCCCCAAATATACACGTACAAACGCACTTACATAAATACACTTACATAATTGGTCGCATTCGGAGGTGATCGTTATGCGGGGGTCCACTGTATTAATATCCACACTGCACATTGCCCTCAGACAAAACATCTCCACCGCCTCCAGTCTTCTCCTTGTTGTCTCCATAAGACAAAGAACGTTATCCATGGAAGCAAAGAGGGTGATGTATGAGAGTATAGTTAAACCAATGCTCTTATATTGGTGTGAAGCATGGGTGGTGAATATTGCAACAAGGAGAAGGCTGGGAGGCAGTGGAGATTTTTTGTCTGAGGGCAGCATGCATATTATGCAGAGAATCTGTAGTTTCGAAATTAGAGGTGGTGTGCGGTTAGTAAAAGTAATACCCAGAGGGCTGAGGAGGGGTTGTGGAGGTGGTTTGGACATTTAGAGAGGGTAGAATGAAATAGAATGACTAGGAGAGCAAATAAATCTGTAGTGGAAAGAAGGCGGGGTAGGGGTCGGCCTAGCAAAGATTAGAGAGAGGGAGTAAAGGAGGTTTTGTGTGTGAGGGGCTTGGACTTCCAGCAAGCATGTGTGAGATGTGTAAAGGTAAAAAGTTTAAAGTGAGATGTATGAGGTTGTAAAGGTAGAAAGTTGAGAGGTGAAAATAGATAAGAGTAAGGTGATGAGGGTATCAAACGATTTAGATAAAGAAGGGAATGTACAGTGGTACCAATGCTCTTATATGGGTGTGAAGCATGGCATGTAAATGCTACAGCGAGGAGGAGGCTGGAGACGGAGATGTTGTGTCTAAGGACAATGTGGTGTAAATATTATGCAGAGGATTCGTAGTGTGGAAATTAGGAGGTGTGGAGTTAGTAAAGATATTAATCAGAGGGCTGAAGAGGGGTTGTTGAGGTGGTCTGGTCATTTAGAGAGAATGAAGCAAAGTAGAATGACTTTAAGAGTGTATAAATCTGTAGGGGAAGGAAGGTGAGGTAGAGGTCATCCCCGAAAAGGTTGGAGGGAGGGGGTAAAGCAGGTTTTGTGGGTGAGGGGCTTGGACTTCCAGCAAGGATGTGTGAGCATGTTAGATAGGAGTGAATGAAGACGAATGGTTTTTGGGACCGGACGGGCTGTTGGAGTGTGAGCAGGGTAATATTTTGTGAAAGGATTCAGGGAAACAGGTTAGTCTGACTTGGAGTCCTGGAAATAGCAAGTACAATGCCTGCACTTCAAAGGAGGGATTTGGGATATTGGCAGTTTGGAGGGACCTCTAAACTGTCGTATCCGAGCATCTCTGCAGAGACAGTGATTATGTATGAATGATGATGAAAGTGTTGAATGGTGATGAAAGTTTTTTCTTTCTTTTTGGGTCACCCTGCCTTGGTGGGAAATGGCCGATGCGAAAAAAAAAAATTCTCTAATGTCATTAATATTTAAATTTGAAGGACATTCATTCACCATCATTTATTTTCTGTCTTTCCAAACGTCGCACTTCAAATGATTCTCTGAGCTATAGCATCTCTATCCTCCCTCCAAAACTCAAATCCGTCTACATTGGTTTCCCCTGAATTGGTTCCTTAGAAAATATAAATTTAAGAAAGGAATATGGATCTCTGTAAATCAGTTAAATATATTTCTTAAAGGACTCACTTTTATTTTGAATTTAGAGTTGAAAACCTTCATTACTCTGTGCTTAACACGAGCACCTCATCCTGCACTTAGGCAGAACACCCTGCCTTTATATGGACTTGCTGTTGTACATACAGTACATGTAGCTGAAGCTTAGTGCAATACTCTAGTTGTTATATTTTTTAATTTCTGATTATTTAAATGCTCATGCATTAACCCTTCAACTGTCCAAACAGATCTATGTTCACATGCGTAGTGCTCCAAAAGTAGATCTACATTTTTTTACATATTTTCAAATATAACAAAAAAAAATGTAGGTCAAAGTTTTTTTTACACGTATCAAATGTAAAAAATCAAAAAGAAGATCTACGTTTTTTTACATACTTTCTAATGTTGAAAAAACGTAGATCTACGTTTGGACAGTTTAAGGGTTAAACAGTATACATAAATTATCGTGAATTGCAGCGATGAAAGTCAAAGGTGGCGGCATTCTCGGCCTCCAAGCCCCCACACAACAAGAAGTTCTGGCATACATGACTCATTAAATACCTCCTGGAGTGATTCTCATGGTTCTGAAGAGTCATTACCTCCACTACCTCCTAGAGGTATGTCGTGCACAACTGAAAGCCTTTGGTGAATTCTGTGATTCTATCATTGAAGTTATTGTATACATAACATGAAATCATAATGGATCAAACTTTCTATACTTTGTCATTCTTATGAATGTTTTAATTACATCAATATTTTATTCATATTTTGCTTGTTTAGGGTATTTTTTCATTAATGGTTCATACATTTAATCATTATGTTAGTTGTTCTCTCTCTACAGTAAGTCATTATAACAGTAGTCCTTTGCCCTAGAATAAGTCGTTGTAATTATTTTTGGTGTGTGTGTGTGTGTTACAGTTGGTGAGAGACAAACTAGATCAGTAAGTCTTGGTGGGGAGGATGATGCTCCTCCACCTGTACTGCCCAAGAGGATGGGTAAGAAGGTACGTGCTGCCAGTTTCAATATTGGCGACAACATAAGTGTTTTGTCTGAATAATTTATTATAATTTTGAAATCACAATGGTAATTGTTACCCATTTTGAATAAATCCATCGTTTTGACTTTTATATGCTCTTTGGTCTTATTAAACTAATAGAACTATTGTAATGTTTGTATGTAAATTATAAAATGCACCTATATTGTACATGTGATATTTTTCAATGGCTGGTTTGAGATTCATCTAAATTTTAATCAAGATATTGTACTTTTCAGTGAGATTTTTGCCCTCTTTTCATCTGTTAGTGAGTTTGAGACAAGCTTAAGTTGTAATTTTTTTTTGTCTAGTGTTTTGTCTGTTAGCTGGTAATGCTGTACAGACTAAGGGCATCTTCAGGATTTTCTTGATCACAGTATCTGTGAAAACATGTGTAACTGAATTGAAAACCTTCCAGTTATAATGAGTTACATTCCTTATGAGACTATGGACTACTAAATGAAAATTTGGGGGGAATACTGTCCATTAATCTATAAAGCTTAATATATTTTGGGTGAATGTGATATTAATTATATGGTAGGTCTTGCTGAGTCTGCTTTTTTTCTATTTGTATATTTAATTTAGTTTACATATACATATTTGAATAACCTCCAATTTTTGATCACTTGTTTTGGTTTTTGTGTGATGCTTTATTCCTACACCCTAAGGCTGTGAGACAACTTAATATTTCATTGTTTTTCCCTATGCCGTGAGATATCACATGTATGCTATAGTAAGAGGTTAGCTGTAAATATTTCGTGCATGTGTGAATATTTGTATAAAGGTCATCATTTACGTGATTTTATACAGTGTGCGTCGCCTGCCATGTTTGGGTGTGATCAGCTCGTTGGTGATGGTGTGGATGGATGCAGCAGTAGCGGCGGTGGCCTCAGTAACGGCTTTCCTGCCTCCACCCCTGGCACTCCTCCGTTGCTCTCCCCACGCAACCACCGCACTCCACCACCACCACCTATACCTCCTAAATCCATTTCTACCCCACTTACACCACTCTCACCACCCACATGCTTCTCACTTAATACTTCTGCTGAAGATCTAACTCCAACTATGCCAACTAATTTGTACATTGGGACCCTAGATGAAACACAACACAGTCTCCTTGAGAACTACTCTGTGCCCCCACGACTCCAACCACATCCTCCGCCTTCTCCATAAACAATATTTATATAACTATACTACTACCTATTTTAGTAGTGCATCATACTTGTTTTCTTGACAAAATTACTGTTTTTCCACCTTGAATTAATTTAGTTTTTATAAGCATTGTACCCAGTTTGCTTAATTTTGTATCCCAAAGATTTTTCCATATCTTTCTAAAAGAAAGTTTAATTCTTTTTAACTTTTGTACTCTTATCTAAATTTATTGAAGTCATACATATTTTTTCACCTGACATTTTATATTGTCACACCCAGTCATCCATTAGCTATTACCTTAAAAAAATCATTGAACAAATCACTTAAGTTTTCACAAAGCATCAGATAATATTTTTAATTTATTTTGTATTTATTATTTCTTGATAAATCTTTTTTACCACTTTAGCCTTACCGTTATTGTTTGCTCTTTGATCTCTTAAATGACCCTCAGTCACATAAGCACAAAATTTGTTGTAAATGTTTTCTGTTTATGTAGAAAAACAATTAGCATGTCACTCAGTCAGTTGAGCATGTAGTTGTCAGTAGCTGTATATTTACTTTGCACTATTTTTTTAGTACTTCCCACAGAAACTTTTAACATAGCATATTATCTTTTATATCCTCTTATTATAACAGTACATTTTATAAACTTTCTCTTCTTGTCTGAGTCATTTGGTCTTATTTACACTGTTACATATGTTCTTCTGATTCAGCTTAAATGTTGATGATATGTAATATGCTATACATACTGTATCTGCTGAAACACCAATGCTATGCCTCACTGCCTGCCTAAACACTTTTTTTTTCATTTGCTTGCATATTCTAGACAGTGCTCCCTTATGGTTATAAGAATCTACTGTACACTTTATATAGTCTAGCTATTTCTTTTTCACTCTTTTGTAGGGCCTCTTCTTTTTCATTGGTCTAAAAGTGACATACATTAAATGCACTTTTGAAATAAAATCATTGTTATGAAATGGAAAGCCTAAATAATTCACTTAAAAAAATTGACTGACAAAAATTAGAGTAATTATTTTAAGAGAATCTTGCGTTTAGCCTGGGGCTCATCCATCTTGTTTTGTTCCACTCGTAAGTTTATGATACAGTGTCACAAACATGTTTGCACTCATGATCTCTTAATAAAAATGTGATGAAAACCTGTCTTTAGAATGGGGAATTTGAGAAAATAGAACTATAGCAATTATTATGTATTTTGTCTTCAGACTTTCTGTTCACACATAACTAGGTGTAAGTCTAAATGATAAAAGTAATTTGACTTTTTAATAATGCAGTTTGGATTTTTCTGAAATGAAAAAGAAATGGCCTTAAACTCTTTTAAAAAACTATACATTCACTTGTAACAACATTTATGTCCTTCCAATAAGCAGTTCCATCATCTACTTACATACAGTGAGCTGCACTTTTCTCTCATTTACATTTTCTCATTTTCTTCTCATCAGGAAAATTTTAAATTTGTGAATGACACTTTTGAGTTTCTTATTCTCTCTTAAATATTCTTTATTATAATTTGTCTCTAGCCCTCTAATAATTTCATAACTCTTAAATATCCTTTCACTTGTTTTACTTTTCTCATTCAAAAGTATTTTTTCTTGTCCTAATATTCTTTGCCTTGTCTTATATCTCTTTAAAAATCTGTCCTTTTAATATTCTTTATCTTGTTATGCCTCTCCATTTAAAAATCATTCTTGTCTCAGTATTCTTTGTTGTGTCTTACCTTTATGTCTTTAAACCTTTCTAATATTATTTGAATAATATTTCCTCGTTATCCTTAAACAGTTTTCCTCTTCCTTCTCTCTGAAAACCTTGTCTTTCCTATGAATTTATCTTTATACATTATAAATAAACAAATTGTTTATCTTGTACATTTTTAAATGACCCCCTATCCCACTTTTTTCATTTTTATTAGTAATGTAAACATATTTCTCCACTTGTTAACATACTGATCTAAAATCTTAACAATGCAATTCATATATGATTTCCTCTTGTTTGCTCAATGCATATATTGGCTTAAAATTGCAGCCAAAAGTTCTCTCTTAATCTTGGCCATACAAATATTGAATGGACTAATTTTAATTGTATTCCATGTGCATATATTTCCCATAAGAAATATTTTTGGTAATACAATTCCAGTAGTTTTATAAGTTTTTTAAATTGTTATAAAGGAATCTCATAAAATATTTTTGTTATGGATGACATTAATAACAATCAAATTAATTTAGATTAATCAAAGTAACATAACTCAATATTTTGCTTTTCATTTCCAAATTTTTATTTTTCATTACTATGTAACAAGTTTGTATTGTCAAGATTTGGTACTATGGTATATATGCTTAATAGATTGCTGTGTGTGATAATAGTTGGTTTCACTTTGAATATGAACAAGAGCATGTCAACCCTTCATTATGCTCTTCATGATTAAGGATTACTACAGAAACATTTGTTAAAGTCACTAGCAAAACAGAACCAGAATCTCTCAGAAGTACAATTTAGTATTACAGCTTGTGGTTTGAACTCATCTGTTTTTGAGGTTGAACCTGTATACTAATGCCTGAAGAAGAACTGTTGTGTGATTGAAGCGTTGTTGCTTTAATCAAACTACTCCTTCTGTTAGACAATAATATTATTGATACTTGAAGCCACCTGTAACAAAATTGACTTGAATGGTGCAAGTCTTGAAATACATATCAGTATGACAGTTAACTTAGGTTTAATTGTTAGCTTCATTGTAACCACTTGATATTTACCCTTATAGCTTGTATATATACAGCATACTGTATATATCTATATGTGCAGGCCAAAAATACAAACAACTTGTGATACACTAGTTCACCTAAAACAACAAATCATTTGGGATTGACCTTGCTGCTAGATATATGAATATATATAATACAACACAAAATTGTCCACGGCACCCCTCAAAATAAATTTTTTATGAAATTTAAGGTTATACTCGCCAATAGTTGCGGTCTTTTTCTTCCGAATTCTTATGCATTAATATATACACAGTTTGTAGATAATTATTTAAGAATCATTTATTGTAAGTGAATGAACTGGTGATAATGCTGATACATTGTGTGTCACCCCAGAAGCTGCATGTACTTGTGTTCACCACCTATGAGGGAGGACTCATCCATACAGTTTTTATGTTCTCTACCTCCTTCATTTTTTCCTTTCCCTCTTCATCATTAAGGTTTAAATGTGAGCAAACAAGTTAGTGTTGACATATTTCTATCCATTGCGCCTCATCTTGGGAGTCTTGTGTACTAGTCGTGTCTGCCACCTATGAGCAAGTGGTCTGGTTATGTTGCTTAATCTAATCTCCTGTACAGTGCAGCCCTCATATAATATTCAGAGTTGCAGTGCTATTTATTAGATTTCACATGTACTCAGCAGTAACTGTCTCACCCCTGAAATGTCTGTACCACTTTTATAAGTGCACAGGTGAGAGTAAATCAGTTGTTGCCTGCATTGGTAGTCAATACAGGCAATATTTACATAGCCTCTACCTCCCTTCCTCTATTTGAACCATTATAATTAAAACTTGAAGAAACCAGAGATTATGTTGATTTTGTACATACAGCACATGTAGCATCCTAGGATGCATATGTACACTTTGTGTCCACCAGATTGGGAGGACTGACATACTTAATGTTTTCATATCCTTTGCTTCTCTCCCTCCCTTGTAAAAGTATCCTTCCTATTAAAATAAAACTAGCATGCTGAATATGAGTAGAATTAAAATTTTTGGTTCATATCTTTTGAACAATAACAAGTTATTTTATGATAAATGTGATGTGCTATTCTCTGTGGGTTCACATGTTGCAGAATTGTAGATTGTAAACAAACTGATGTGCCACATATTGGCTTAAAAATTACTAATACTGTTACCAAGCATACAGTGGCCCTGATAAACTGCTACACATTAAGCAAATTAAGAACACTAGTTTGCTTATTTTCATTTAGTTGTTTTAGCACTTTTTGCTAGAAGTGGCTTCATTTTACAGGTGAACTAATGCACCTTAATATGCTATCTAACCACAATAAAAGAGCAACTAATTCCAAGTACTTTGTCAAGGCAGGTTCATAGGTGAGGTTCAGTCCTGTATATAAGGTGCCTATTGCTAGTTTCCTTCACTATGTTCCTTAAGAATGTGATTGATACATCACATAGAATCTATTTCCTTTTCTGTGGTCTGCATATTAAGGTATCACATGTTCTTTGCAATTGTGTTCTGCATTTACTTTACATTCATGCATACAAAATACATACACACATATATACATACAAGATAAATGTATTTACAAATAGCCCACACATAGGAGAGGAACCTTTTGATGATGTTTCAGTCCATTCTGTACCATTGTCAAGTCACAACTGGATGGATTAAAACTTCATCATAAGGGTTTCTTTCTTACGTGTGGTTATATTGAAGTGTTCCAGCCATGGTATTGAGACCTCTTACTCAATATACATACACACAGGATACATATATACATACATACAGTATATATAAATATATAAATAAAATATGCTGTAAATGTTATCTTGCCTACATAACGCATGTACAGTAATTATATATCCACAATAACTCATTTCATTGCTACAGGTAATATTTTAGACATACATAGTCATGTACTATTAATTTTTGAAAGGATGACGATGATGCTTAGATTTGGAAAATGTTCACCCAGATTGCTACATCCGATTCTTAAGAGAAACCACTATGGACTCTAGTCAGTGCCGAAGACAAACTGAGGCCGAGTATAGGGCTAGTTTAGTTCTGTGTTAGACAGAATTACTAGTTTCTGGACTATTAGTGTGTAATTGTTTTAACTGCAAAAGTTGATAAGATAAATGCAATTAGTACACATCATATATGAATGATTCAGTATTATTTGTGTACTAGAAAAATTAAAGAGGTTTATAAAATATTTTTCTTATTTTTTATGTGTTTTGTATATCTTCAGTACTATATTGTTTTATAATAAGTTTTATATTAAGCAAGCTGAGCAATTAGCTGTATAGTCAAGCCAAATCCATTGTTTACTATCTAGCATACTGAAAAGGAATATTAACTCCAGAAACTTTTCTTAAGGCTGTCCTAAAATGTTTCACATAGTATCTGTCTCAGTAAGACAAATGCCATGTAATTTTTAAGGTAATTTGTTTTCATGCTTTTTACATGACCGAGGAGAATATTTTATGAAATGTCTAGATAATTCATACACACAAGCCTAAAATGTTTCTGCTTATTTATATTTCTTGTTTATTACTGGTGTAATAACAAAAGATAATGGTATAATGAAACAAATAAAGAGGTAGCTTTTTTTTTGTTTTTTTTTTTTTTGCACAAGTGTAACCTGGAGAGTTGGTGGTCCCAGCACAATGTGAGCTGTTGTGTATGTATAGCTCAGTTCATATTGTTGAGCAGTTATTAAAATAACAGCTTGTATAGCTCTTTTAAATATGATACATAAAAGGTGCTCTATATAGCTTGCCTGAAGTAATTGTGTAACTTTTGTAATACTGTACATCAAATTTTTTATGTATTTGCATGAAAATGTAGAAGTATTGATCAACAAATAGTACATACTGATAATGAATTTTATATTTAGTTTTAATATATTGTATATTAATAGGTTTGTTATTTTACTTCAAAAGACTGTTATTATGCATTTCTCACTCTAAACTGTATCTGCTGCAAACACTTGTAGTCGTAACTTCTTTCTTTCAATACCTGATGGCATGATTTACAGATGATTATATATTATTTTTAGGCTCAGTCTTGAAATACTCTGTGCATTATTTCAGAACATTTTAATGCTTATGTGACACTTTCAGTACACACATTTCACAGGAAGATGTTGTGGTTAGTTTTGTAAGGTTATGTCTTGTGAATAGTTGAGTCAAAGAGAACAAGTTCATGTATTAAGCTTTTCATTTATCTGGCTGCATTCCTTTTTCCCATTAAGAGTTTTTGTAAGATCATCCTAATAGCTAATTCAGGTCTCACATACTTGTATACATTTATCACCACCATATTCAAGTTTATTATTATATTTTTCTCTTGCCTTTTTTCTTTCATATTTGCATTTAGAGGTTGGTAGTTTATACTCTCTAATCAATATTAACTAACCAACATCAAATCTTCAGACCATTTAGGCTTAATTTGGCATGTTTAGATATTTTATTGAGTTTTGTATTCATCAGCACTGCTGTATATGCATTATATTAAAAGAACATTTTGTGTAGTATAATATCTTTAATGAGTGTGCATGGAGTGAGCTCTAGTTCTGTCATACCTCTTTAACTGTTGGCTGATTGACTTCAGGGGAAATGGACATTTTTGTACAGGACAGTTATTTAAGATTATATTTTGCTATGAGTGCCTTCATCAGTCCCAATGAAGAATAGTACTGATGAAGCCACAAGTGGCAAAACATTTCCTTTAACCCTTTCAGGGTCGGTCGTGTTGTATCATGGCTTTGAAGTCAGTGTCAGTCCTGTAGTACAACACCATAAGCTCAGCTCACTCAGATAAGCTGTGAGCAGTAAATTTGGGCTTAGGTATGAGAGAATAGGTCTATATGGTAAGTGTACATCATATAAAAAAAATCCTGCAACACGCAGTGCATAATGAGAAAAAAACTACAACCGTGTTTTTGGTGTAAAACAGTGACTCTGTGTATATTTGTGTGGTTTTATGGTTGTATTCCCAGTTTCTTGGTCTCATTTAATAGAATGGAAGATACGTTACAGAAATGGAGATGATTTCAGTTGGTTTCAAGACTGAAAGTACCTTGAAATTGAGCTCAAAGCAGTGGAATTGTTTGATTTTTGCCGATATTCCAGAGTACACATGACATCACTCGTCCAATACGCCTCTAACTGGCCGGTCTTATATGCGTTTACAAGTGGGTTGACATAATTTATACAGTTATTAAATAATGCAGTAGTCTGCATAACAGTAAACCTTCTGTTTTTTTTGTTTGAAAAAAAATTCAAAATGGAAAGCAAGCGTAATGTAAGAGGGGCCTAGAGACGTGACTAATGAACAGAGAAAATAGAACTTTAGTTTCAGGAATGTCTGCATTGTTTATTCTGGACCCTGTTTTGAAATTGGCATTTCTTGAAATTTGTATGAAAATGGCCAAATTACCAATTTTGATCACTTTATTGGGTAGTTGTACTCAGTTGATAAAATAAAAAGAACACTAGCAAAGTAGCTATGAGTTTGGTCATCTGGAACAATGGAATTGGCCAAAAATAGGGCACAAAGTGGGCAGAATTGCTGATGCGTAAGTATTGCCAAAACCGCTAACTTTGCAAGAGCACAATTCCTTAAGTTTCCCATCAAACCTCATACTTTTGGTTTTGTTACCTTCGGAAAATTTTTTTGTCATTCATAAGATAAAATATTTTTGAAAATTCTTTGACCCTGATAGCAGGGGTCTCTCTTGACCCTGAAGAGGTTAATATCTTGAAATGTACATAAGTGTCCTTTTCACAGTTTATCAGTATCACCATACCATTTACAACAGGCTGACTTGAATTAGCCTGTCATACTAAAGTTTGAGTCTGTATACAGTATCTGTATCCACCGTCTTTGTTCAGTTTATTCCGTTTCTTTATTATGCTTACACTGGAGAAATGCTTCATTATATCCCTGTGAATTTTGGGCATGTAATTCAGTACCTTGCGTTTTTACTCTTGTTTCATCCCTGATAAAGTACATATGCATGTCTACCCTGTCTGTGACTCAGAATATTTAATATGCCATGATCATATTCACTTTTACTCTTCATTCTTCCATTGACAGAATGCTTAGCTCTTAGTCTTTCTTCACAGCTTATTTCCTTCAATTCAGAGAAAAGTCTAAATATGCATTTTTGGATTTTCTTAAATTTCATTTTGCATTTTACTAGGCGAGTACTCCATTCAGGCTGAAGCAACAGTTGCATGCCTGATGTAAAGTGTGTTTTGAATGTGTCTTGTGTCTTTTTTCAGATGTTTGAATGCCATTTTTTTATTTACTGACTTAGCCTGTGTTCACAGAACGAGTGGGATTCGAACCTATAGCAAGCCAGTCCTAAAACTGGCAGCCCAGTGTACTAAACCCTGTACCATGCCACTCTAAAATTCATCCAGCTTAAATGTATTTCTATATCCTAGGAAGGTTAACATGAACCCCACAGTGCAGGTTTTTACAGATAAATCTAATGACTACATGGCCATGGTAAGTTTTGGCTCAAGATCTTTCAAAGCCATTACCAAATAACTCACAAAGTCAAGAGTCTGATAATTTGAATAAATTTCAACATATCTTTGTTGAAATTTAACAATCCCTAATTCATCCATTCTTAACATCTTGCAGCAGCTGCAAGATGTCAGGATTGGTTGAATAATTTTTACTAGCATTTAACCTCAAGAAGATACAGATACAGAAAGAATACCAATAACAGTGCCATTGTGGGATAAGTGTTAATGTGTGAAATGCTGGAGATTTGAACCTAGGTACCAATTTACTAATAGTTGAATAGATAGCAAATGTAAGGAGACTTGCTCATAATCTACTTGCCTGGGATTCTACGTAAGTCCTCTGGTTTTGAGTGGGAGGTATTACCACTGGGCTAGAAACCACCTAGCTGACACATGGAGGAGCTACCCTGTGAGAAATCATCATAGGAACTGTTCCTAGGTGACGACAAGCCCCAGGTTCCTGTAACATAAGCCACACAGTGAGAGCAGGGCAACGTCCCAAGAAAGTCACACATATAGAATTGGTAGTGCCCACCGGTGCCTTGGCAGTGATCTGCCAGTTTCCAGTTTCAGGATCCATCTACACTCGTTTTTCCTTCAAGCTGTTGGTAAGGCCTCTTCACAGTTCTTCGTGTCGGATGTATTACTTAGGTGTATGTATGAAGTAGAAAGGTGTTCCTAGGTTGTGACCTATCAGGAGGCCAGCTCCTGGGTGAGGTATGCCTTCTTCAGGGCATCGTAGACCTAGCTGTGACTTGCCCCTTAAATATAGGCTCACATCAGAGCTCAGCCTCAGTATTAGAAATACAGCACCTGGTTTTATGGTTTGGGAAGGGGGGGTTGCATCTTGGTCAGGCCAGTCTTTGGGCCTTTTTCATTGTTAGACCATCCATATGTGTACATTTGGGACCCATTCTTGTGAATAAACTTTGGGCTTGTGTGGTGGGGAGGGGGGCAGTTCTTGGCCAACCATTGTCTGGTGTGGGCTTTACTCACAATTTTAGTATAGCAATCTTTTTGTCATGCACCAATCTGGTATTCTTGTCAATTTAGTAAAATCTCCCTTTGCTATGGCCGGACTACTGTATTCCATTAAATTTGTAGGCTTGATAGATAGCTTAATTCTTGACATTATTTTAATATTCATTATGCTATCTTATTTGGTTCTATTTTGTATTTGACATTATACAGTAGTAGCTTTCACATTTATTTTAGTGAGCTCCATTTCATCTTCCTGTCTGTGAGAACAAAATGCTTTTGCATGACTTTGTTTTTTAATTATATTCCACAAGTCATCCGAGATCTTAAAACCACTTCATTTGTAAAATTTTAGTAATGACCTAGGCCTAGTGTTGACTTTAACAGTGTTTGAGTTAGTAAAGGTAAGAGATGTTCACAAATGTTGAATGAGCCTTACAAATTCAGTATTGATCCATTTTATTACAAATCATAAGAATATCTATAGATACAGCTGTTGTATTATATTACTTAAGCATGTTTATCATCAGGATTTACAGAAGGTTATCAAACCATCCAGTTTTATATTTTTTTTAAGATGTCATGTTTGAGATCAATGTTTGTTGTGAATATTATGCAGAGAATTTGATGTGTAGAAATTAGAAGACAGTGTGGGATTACCAAAAGGATAATTTGGAAGGTTGAGGAGGCATTGTTGAGATGGTTTGGGTATTTAAAGATGATGGAAAAAAGGAGTAGGGATCATCCCAGGAAAGGTTGGAGGGAGGGGGCAAAAGACATTTTGAGAGCTAATGTCCACAGCATCTAGCCATTTTGTGTCATCATGGGTTATGTTGTGTCTTAGAGCTTTTCTATCTTTCCAGGTCAAGAGTCTTTGCAAGATCAACACAGTACCCATTGTCTCTTGTTATTTTGTCTGCTTCCACATGTAGAGCTGTAACAGATGTTAGCAGGGTAGATTTGTTTCAACATTGCCACCATTTATTACACCCCTTTCCTATTCAAATTCACTCATTTGGCTCCCTTTCATTTACCTCCTATTTACATTCACACAGCCCCCCCCCCTTCCCCCAAGTCTCGCTGATAGGTTC